TAGTTTGGGACTCCTCAGCAGTACGCACCCGCGGGATTCGAACCCAGGACCTTCTGGTTACAAGGCGAGCTCGTAGACCATTGAGCCGTCCGTCAAGGATGCCCATTATCTCCTTTTCTATTCAACTTCATCATAGATGTGTTAATGGACTTAACCCTAGGTGACTTCAGCGACTCAGGATTGACTTGCTACCGGGAATAATCTCGTTGACTTGGAATATGCAGACGATATAGTCCTTCTAGGCGAAGACACTGACGAAATGCAGAGTCTTCTAAACACCTTGAGCCGCAATCTACGAATGTTTGGCATGCGATTCGCTCCCACCAAATGCAAGATGATGTTACAGGACTGGACTACATCGACGCCTAGTTTAAAAATAGGAAGTGAAGTGGTAGAGCACGTTGACCGCTTCACTTATTTGGGAAGTACCATCAGCCCCAACGGGCTGATCTCTGACGAAATCTCAGCACGAATACAAGGGGCTCGTTTCGCATTTGTTAGTTTACGCCGACTCTGGCGTAGACGAGATGTTCGACTATTGACCAAAGGGCGGGTGTACTGCTCATCAGTCCGCTCCGTCCTCCTTTATGGTTGTGAGACCTGGCCACTGAGAGTGGAAGACATGAAAAGACTAGCTGCCTTTGATCATAGGTGCCTGCGCTCTATTTCCCGTGTAAAGTGGCATAATAAGGTGAGCAACATGGAGGTTAGGCGTAGAGTTCTAGGTAAACAGGGGAAATCAATCGACGAAGTCGTGAAGCTACAAAGACTGAGATGGTTAGGACATGTGTTACGTATGCCAAGTCATCGCCTCCCTCGACGAGCTATGTTAGCGGATATAGGGTCAGGCTGGAAAAAAGCTAGCGGCGGTCAAACGAAAACTTGGCATCAGTCAATGAAATCCACAACAGTTGGTCTAAGCCACGTAGAAAGGTGTAGACTTCCAGGCTGGGGTCCTCGGGACGGTAAAAATCTATGGTTGGAAACAATTGGTGACATGGCTCAAAATCGTTCTCAGTGGCGCAGATGCATCCACTCCCTGTGACTTATGATCTTCAATGAAACTGTTTTGTATTACTGGGACCCGATCCAATGGTCTCATATATATATATATATATATATATATATATATATATATGAGATTTCAGTTGCCAACAGTTTTGGCCAATTATTATTATTTCCTTTAACTCGTAGAGGAACATAGGGCTTCAGCTGCACGTCGCCATTACGTTTGGTTCTCTGCTAGAGTTTTCACCCCACTCCAAGTCTGCCCACATGCTATCATATCCTCTTCACATGACCTCCTCCAAATCACCCTTGGATGACCAACTCGTCGCTTCCCCTTCGGGTTGCACTCGAGGACTTGTCTAGTGATGTCACTTGCTGGTTTCCCCCGAGTATTGCCAATCCATCTCCGCTTCTTCCTGGTTATTTGTTTCGCAATCGGTTCCTGGTTGGTTTGCTCCCAGAAATCGCTCTTTGTGATCTTTTCTGGCCAGCCATCTGATCTTGAGCATTGAGCGAAGGCAGCTGTTGATGAAGGTCTGTAGTTTGTTTGACGTGCTCTTAATGACGCGCCAAGTCTCTGATTCGTATAGTAGCACTGACTTCACATTGGAGTTGAAAATCCGGATGTTATTTTTGAGGCTGATGAGTGCTGTTGATCTCCACACAGACTTGAGAGTAATGAAAGCTTGTCTTGCTTTCCCGATCTTTGCTTTGATATCCTCGTCAGTTCTGGCCTGAAGTTGAAACGATGATTCCCAGGTAGGTAGGTAAAAAAGATTGTCTCTTCAGAATCGTCCCATTTATGCCGGCTGATTGTTGTCTGTTATTGTTGATGTTGCTGTTGACCAGGAATCTTCATCACCTCTGTTTTTTCTGTGTTCACCAGAAGTCCTATCTTTGATGCTTCTTCTGCCAACTTGTTGCTTTTCACTTGCATATCTTCCAGTTTGTGGGAAATCAGACATTTATCATTGACGAAGTCCACATCCTCCAAGTTTTTAGTGTGAGTCCATTGTATGCCTGTTTCCTCATTGCCCGCTGTCTGTCGCATTATCCAGTCTACCGCAATCAGAGAAATCAGTTGCTATAGTAGGCAGCCAGCTTGTCTTACTCCCGTCTTTACTTTGAAGGCTTCCGTAAGTTTCCCGTTGTGGAATATTTGGCATAATAATCATACACAATGGAAACCTTTGGCATTACGTAATCAGGCGAAAGAGAAGTGAAAATATCCGGTTACCAGGGTGGTAAAGAAAGACTGATAACTGCTTCTTTCTGAACGCATAAATCAGGTTTCAGATGTTTGATGGAGATTGTTTCAGCAAATTTGAGGAGAATGAACTCTTTTGCCTATTGATTATTTTGACGGATCCACCTCATGACCCGGTGACAAGGAGATGCTTGGCGAAGGCACTATTTAAAGCATTTGTTACTCTTCAAAGCATTTTTCAGAAAAAGAAATAAGGACTTCAGAGTACTGTGTTTAAATTTATCCTGAGGATTGCATACTATTGACTCATAGTATACACTCTATTGATTACTACTTTAATTTAGTTGTGTTCTCTGAATTGGTTGCTTTTTTTTAATTGACAAGCTTCCGTTTTCTCCGCCACACCCCCCCTGCTTCTAGAAAACATCTTCAGCGTAGGTTTTAGTATGAAATGAGCTTTTTTGAATTCGCTATGAATGTTATTTATTTGTATGTCCTGACAACCATTGTCGTGACTAGTTGTTAATTTAAGTCTCTATTGATCATTTTCATTGTCTTGGAGTTTGAACTCTCTTGTCATATGAGATTTATCTCTTATTAGTAGGCAAGGTATTTTTGCTATTTCATCTATTTAAAATTTCTACATTCTTCCAGTCATCAAATTGGTCTTCATAATTTTGTACATGCATCGATATGAAAGAATGTATATCTTGCCTTTTTACAGTTAATTTATGTTCTTGGATTATGATTTGAGAGGGACGCCACACGTTGATCGATGTAGTGTTTTTCGCAGTTTATCCACTATATGCTGTAAATGGTATTGATCTTACCTTCTTTTGAGGTTGGATTTTTTGGTCTCCACGATCTGTGATAAACATTATATATCGGTGTTAAAGTGGGCGTCCCTTTCGAATCAGAATACAAGGACATAAATCAACTGTGAAAAGATACTACATGCATTCTTTTCTTACAATGTACGCAGATCGGTTTGATTGGGAAATTGTAGAAATTTTAAATAGAAGAAACACCAAAAAAATACTTCCAGGGAATTTCTAGAAGGCTCGTGTGTGTGTGTGTGTGTGGGAGGGGGTACTCAAGTGAATCAGCGATTAACAAAAATTATTGTAGAAAAAGTTTATCAAATAATAAGGAATAAATAAATCATACGACAAGAAAGTTCAAATCCCAAATCAATAAAAACGATCAATAAAGATGAAAATTAATAAGCAATCAAGATAATAGAGATGGTTGTCAGAAGATAAATACAAACGAATTCATTTCATGCTAAAAACTTGTGCTGAAGATGTTGTCTTGAGAGGGGACAAGAAAAGCTTCTCAATTAAATCAACCAACAGTTCAGAGAACACAACTAAATCAAAATCATCCACCTGAGCTACGAATCTTTCTTATGATTGTTATTATTTCAGTTAAAGTGTTTTTAATTTTTATTTCAAATTCTTACTAGTAAGTTTATATATAATAATAATAATAATTATTGTTCCCTTAAGTTCCTAGTGGAACATAGGGCTTCAAATGAACGTCTCCACTTGCTTCTGTCTTCCTTCTGCTGTACTTTCCACCTGCATCCATGTTAGTCCATACTGTTTCAACTCCCCTTCACACGATCTCCTCCATGTCACCCTTGCACTGACGTCCCACTCGCTGCTTCCCTTTCGGATTCCACTCGAGCAGTGTCCTGACGTGTGATGTCACCCAGCGGCCTCCTCAGTGAGTGTCCAATCCATCTCCACTTTCTCCTGCATATTTATTGGTTGGCGATTGGTTCTTGTTTTGTTTGTTCCCATAGTTTCTTGTTGGTGATTCTTTCCGGCCCGGTCATCTGATCTTCAGTATAGAGCGAAGACAGTTAGTTGTTGATAAAGGTCTGCAATAGCCTGTTGGAAATATTCTTTGTGACCTGCCCGCCAAGTTTCTGATCCGTTCCGTATAGAAGAATTGATGTTTGTATTGGAGATCCGACTGGATTTTGTTGTTGATGCTGGCTGAGTGACGAAGATTTCCAGATTGGTTTCAGGTTGATGAATGTGTTTCTCGCTCGCCTTCCCGATTCTCGCTCGATATGACATCCTCGTCCGTTCCTCCTGTAGTTGAGACAATGCTCCATCCCTGGATGTGAATGAAGTAACTAACCGCTTTCAAATCCCCCCCCGCCCGTTGATGGTGATTGGGGCTGGATGTTGCTGCTGTTGGTTGTTGGTTTTCCAGTTATATATGATAATCGTACTGCTTGAAGTGAAGCTTGGGTTTTAGGATAGACATATTACTTACGTTTACATCTTTTCTATGAATGAATTCTATATATCATATTTGAAATTGTGCTTATCCATTTTGTAAGTTATTTCTTCAATTACTAAACATTGATTTGTTTTGAAGTTCGATCATGGATTGATATCAATTAGATAAGAATTGAAAATCGACAGGTAGTACTGGACAGCCAGCTGTTCCGTCCAAATGCTTGGAACTCATCGAGAATACGCACCCACAGACGGGGTTTCGAACCGAGGACCTTTTGGCTACAAGTCAAACTCGTAAACCATTCAGCCATTGTAAACCGATGCAATGGTCTATGAATTCTAATAGCCAATGACAATGACTGATGGTCGCACTAAAATTGTCATTTGGTAAAAAGTTCAAATCGATGCTCCTGTCGGTTTTCAATGGTTCTCTAACTGCTATCCATCCGTGATTAAACTTGAATAACTTTTATCGTAAACATATTTCATTGAATTTTTAATTGTCCTCTTATTTTTTTATTGGTTTTCAGATTTTATAAACAAATATGTTCATTAACTCCTATGGAATTGTACAGTGAAAAGAAGAATATTTTATTAAAGAAGCATATTGTACAAACTGAACTAGTGGAGTATGAAAATAATATTCAGCGTTTATTAGGTATGATTATATACGATATTTTTTTTCTTTTATTTGTTTTTCAGGATTGATCACAAGCTGACATCAGTTAGGGAACTATTGGAAAACATGGAGTGTTGGACTGCTGTTTCATCTTAATTTAGGGCTCTTTATTGGTACGCACGTATCGGAGTTCGAACCCAAAGCCTTACGGTTAGGAGGCGACCTCGTAGACCATTAAGCCACTGGGACCCGATCCAATGGTCGATGAATTCCAACTCCTGCCAATTCATGATATATATATTTAACGCAATCGGAAGGTCTTGGGTACCGTTGAAGGGTCCCAAACTGCGACGAAACAGCTGTCTAGTACTCCTAGCTGGTTTTACAATGGTTCTCTAACTAGTGTCAGCTCGAGATCAGTCCTGTATGTAGTCATATCCCTGCAAACCAACGCTTTATTGGTTTTTGTTAATTCACTTTTGCACTTCAAGTATTCATTTTTACACTTTGTATCTAATGTTTACTTAGATCTGTAATCCTAATCATTTATTATGTTTATAATTTCCAATGGACTGAAAATTTCTCCTCTTCCATGTGTATCTAACAATTTAACTGCTCCTGTGTGGCCAGCTAGATAGGTCGTACAGTTTAGCTGTGTTTCTCGTCGGATTTCCGAATATCACTCTGCATAGTGGTTAAGTAAGGGACAAACAAATCTATTTGTAGTGCTATTCTATCTCACCTTGTGGATGCAGCAGAACACAAGATTGATGTCAACTGGCCAGCTTTCAAAGTCATTTACCGCGTATACCAAGAAATCTTAATTTCACCTTAAGAGTTCGACTACTACTACTACTACTATTGCTGAGGCTGTTGAGATCCATATTAAGAAGCCTAATTTGTACGTCCAAAAGAAGCTAGTTCAGAAATTATTCTTACCTTGGCCATCTAGGTTTGAATGATCCTCAGTTTTTGTGGAGATTTCCCTAATTTTAGTTGATATTCTATTTGCTATTATATCTTTATTATTATTATATTTAAACATCCTTAATGAACTGTAATTCCATTGTGATCTTGCTTAACAAATCGATATTATTTAAAAGACACTAATATTGTTATTAACTACTAATCTAGAATATTCTGTGTATATAAACATGCATATGATATTGTAGAGTCAGAAGAGGAAATTATCGAAAAGGTTATTCTTTGCTCAACTATTTTGTGTTTTATAGATGCCTGAATGAATATTTTCGCTATATTAAAGTCTTAGTTGGTGATATTCGATTGTTGATCGCCAGTAATTTGACTGGTTTCTAATCAGAGATCACTAGCTGACGATATCAGGTAGAGGATCACTGAAAACTAAGGGCACTTATTGTTTCGTCTTAGTTTGAAACGATCCTAGGTGATGGGGTGGGGGTAGTCATGTGTACGTTTCGCTAAAGAGTCTGTCAAACTAAGAGAAAACAGCTATCCAGCACCACCTTGATTTTTCAACGGTTCTCTAACTGATGCGAACTTGTCATATAGTGATTCTGTTGTCATACTGACGACTATGAGCAATAAGACGACTGTTCCCAAAACTTCATCGATATATTAAAAAAAATGCCTTCAGTATATGCTACATCAAATAAAATTACTATATTACGGAACTAGATTTTAAAATAATGTCTATTTTGTTGTTATTTCACTGGAGCTTTCACTGGTCGGCACAGTTGGGGGTGATGGGGGGAGGGGAATGCATATGTTGTTCGAATTGTGAAAGTGAATTCAAAAGGGTGTTTTTGAAATCTCTAAGCAATAATCTTTCAGTTTGATTGTACCTTAGTATTCAATTATCACGGATGATTATATACGGCATATCCTTTTTTTTGAACTGGCGCCACCTGCTTTATCCGGTGGATATTAAGGCGTTTCAATAAATAGGCCAAAATATACCGGCATGATTTTATGAAAATTCAATAATTCAATACATTCAACTTTAGAACCTACCACCTCCTTTAATCCTTTACAACATTGGGCAGATATCAGTATCAAGGCAGATTTTCTGAGAAAAGTGCAGTCGATGTAATTCAGTTCCAGAATATAATGCCACCGACAATATTTACGTCAGAAAAAAGATTTCTGATGGGAAATTTCATTTAAAAATCAAATACAAACTATAACTTGTCATTATTTCACCATAGCAACGGGTTACGGTGTTACATTCTAATATCACTATTGTGTGATATTCTTATTGCTACTTGAGAGTATACTTTTTATTATTGAGTTTGAATTCAGACCGTATTTAACACGTTCGTGCTTTATTTCTCACCAACACCTTTCACTTGTGCAGCTTTGTCCTTATTATAACACTAGAGAGAAAGTATCACGTTTTGTTTGATTTTAAATGTATATATGTAGGACTTTCTTTTTGTTATTGAGAGTACAGACTTACTATCTTACAAGACTAGACATCAAAGGTTTTTAAAAAAAGTCATCAAGTTTGTATGTTGTTGGTTAACTTCTAGATTGACAGAAATCTTGTCTCATTTGATTATTAGTCACACATACATACACACACACACGCAAATTTCGTGTATTTTAACTTTCTTGTTCATCAAATTTGAAAGTAGAAGACTTTGGTGTACTTTAATTATGCATCATAAGTGTGTTCATTGTAATACTGAGATATAGTTGTTTTCCAGACCTGATGATGAGTTCACTTCCTTTTTCATTAAGAATTTTAAGCATTGGTTTGTAGGGAAACTTTTTTGATTGGTTGAAGGATTTCATCACGAGTTGACATGGTTCAGAGAACCACTGGAAAACCTGGGCGTACTGGACGGCTGTTTTTCGTCCTGATTTAGGACTCTTCAACAGTACACACTCACCAGGGTTCGAATCCAGCACCTTCTGGTTACAAGATGAGCTCGTAGACCATTAAGCCACTGGGAATCGATCCAGTGGTCCATGAATTCTAACTTCTACCAATTCGCGACATAGTGTGACCAATTAGCAATGTCTCCTTTAATGATATTAGATGGTTGGAGGCGAGGCGTATCTGCAGTCAACTTGAAGGAACTCATGTCCCTTCTGAGATTCGAACCCGCGTCATCCAGTGCAACAGTCAAAACGTTACCACTGAACTATTTGGGCTCTCGATTGACCTTCTGTAGGATTGTAGTGGATATTTTGACTAGACACTATAGTAACTAGCTTGATGTGTCTAGTCGTTTCTTTGGTGCAGACTGAATTCTGTCATTCAGGTTTGTAATGTGACCATTCTAGTTAGCTAGCTATCACGGTGCACATTGATATAATGATATTAGGTGGTTGGAGGCAATCGTCAGGAAGCCTTGGACCTAGGTTTCCTGCTAGTTGGCATCATCAGCGAGGTGTATCTGCAACCTTGAAGGAATTCATGTCCCTTCTGAGATTCTGAGAAAGGACTAGACAAATCACACTAGTTACTATTGTCCAATCAAAATGTCTCCAATGATTAACTGTCCTCATTAAGACTTAACTAAACTATGATTAAATGTAACAATTTTGCAATTTTCTAAGTCCTGTTTGGTTCCATTTTGCAAAATCTGTATTATTATTATTCGCTATTATTCCCTTGGGTTCCGAGTGGAACATAAGGCTTTAACGGCACACATCTATTTTATCCTGCTCCGACAATTGCCCCGCGGTCTCTTCAGAGTGTGTGTGTGTGTATTTCCCATGGATCTCCGTTTGTTTCGGCACATTTGTTGGGCAATAAGTTCTTGATTTGTTCGTTGCCAGAGATCCCTCTTTTGTACATCTTTTCTTGCTATGTGATCTTTAGTATGAAGCAAAGGCGAATGTTGATAGACGTCTGTAGCTGGCACTATTGGAAATGCTTTTCATGATGCTCAGGCCAAGTTTCTGAGCCATATAAAAGAAGCGACAGACTGACTTAATAGTGATATTGAAAATCTGAATTTTTTTGTTTATGCTGAGGAGTCCATAGCACTTCCAAACTGATTTGAGAGTGATGTTGTTGTGGAAAGAATGCTACCTAATCAGGTAGGTAGGTAGGTGAAGAAAGGGATTTCCTTCAAGTTTTTTCCCTTTTAAAGTGATTGGTGCTTGTTGTTGTTATCGTTGGTCACCGATCATCCTCATCACCTCTGTCTTCTCTATGCGTCGTCTTTGCTGCCAGCTTCTTCTCCGTTCTTGTTGATTTTCGTCTGTAAGTCTTCGAGTTCGTATGACATTAGACATGAACCACCCCGTGAAATCCAGATCTTCTAGAGTCTTCTTTTCAGTCCAACTTATTCCTGTCTTCTCGCTCCCCATACACGGTGTTCCACCTAATCTAGTCAACCACTATTGGGAATGTTATCCGTGATAGTAAACAGGAATCCTTGTTTTACTCCTGTCTTCCCTTTAGGGCTTCGTTGAGTTCTCTATTGTGGATCACTTGACGTGTGTTGAATGAGGTTAATAAAGATTTGAAGTGGTGCGTACCATAATGAGATTTAACTTCCATTCTATGCGCTGTTCAACGATGATGGTGATGATGATGTGTGTTGCTGCAATTTCATCTTCTCATGACCAGTTTGTTCTGGCGGTTAGACTCCTGCATCCAGCATAGCGTTTAGTATCTCAAGGATGACACGATTTAATATTTTTCTTCCCGTGGGTGACAAAAACAAAATGTGTTTACTGATGGCATATTCATATTTAGTGTTTGTTTCACGTTGAAAACCATGACCACAGTATGAATATGCTATCTGTGTATGTTTTCCTAGAAATGGTTACATGTGAATTCGCCCACCATTTTTTAGTTTGACGTTCACCAATTGCACTACATGCATTAGCACACAATCACACAATAGGGTGGTGGGTGAGGGTTAAGATTCTAAGAAGTAATCTATGTAGCTGGAGAGAGAGATTGATTACTGAATCCTGGTTCATTGAGTGTACTACACCCAACACATGCAACAGAAATGTCTGTCTGTTTTCGACATAGAACATTGCACAAATGTGCGGAAGTTCAAGTCGCCACATTCCGTGTAGCACGCGAAGCA